TGAATGTATGTCCACCTAGTCCGTCACAGGCTCCATCGTGATGCCAATGTGATATTTATAAGTATTTGGATCCTTATATGAACTAGGAATTCCTGAAATTGCGCAATTCAAACCAAACGGAACTGGGTGATCACAAACGAACGTACTGTATTTAGAATCTGAAATTAGACAGACATCAAGTACAAAAGAATCATTGGTTTGTAGTGACCTAATTTTATGAGGAAAACGCAATTGGTATAATCGAAACAACTATTATTATAGCCAACTGTACGAGTGATTGCTTTACTGTAGCTTTTTGTCTAAGTGTACTAAAAAAACACTTCCGTTGTTTGTGACCTTGTACGAACTCTTGTACTCTCAGTAGTACCGCTTGTAAACTTTGGCACGACTTCGTTATTATTTCGACACCACGAGATCGCCAACAAATACATCTTACCACAACCTTCAGCTGCCTTCTGATATTTGGCCTAAGGAGGGGTCTAACCTGGTAACTGGTACGTAGTCTTCCTGTAGTGGTGATCAACGTCAACCGCGACCCGACTCCAAATACAAGTTCATACGAAAACCACGGTATATTACAACCGTAACATTTTAAAACGTCAAGCGAAATAAGTGGACGTTGAACATGTTCATCAATGGAGTAACTGGCGTTGAGAACGTCGTTATTGCAATTGAATACGAAGTCTACTCTTCGAGCCATTTCATCAATAATTCACCGAATTGCTTGAGATCCATAATTTATTCCGAACTCAAACAGACTAAAATGTGTCATGATGGTCGTTTTTTTCACATTCTTAGGTGCCGCCGGTATCTGGTCGTACCCTCTGACCAGGTCCAATCTAGAGAAAACATTCCTACAACGTAGAGCTAAAAACAATCCTGAAATCTGGAATATGATATTTATACGGTAAGGTGCTGTTATTCAACGGTCGGTAGTCGCCAAATGGGCATCAATCATGGTCCTGCTTCAAAAATAAATTCAGGAATAAAAAGAATGAACTTCTGAAATATCGTATTGTCTCAAGCTGTACCGTGAAGCAATGGGAAACGGTGTATACCTGTGGTGTTTGAATGAATGACTTCTTTGTACTGGTTGAATGCTTGATTTCTAATTCCAAATACAGTACATTCGTTCGTGCTTATCGACTACTTCTTGATCCCATTGCGTTATTTCCGGGATTCTTGATTTTAACTACAATTCAAATACTTCTAATCATCATAATGCCCTTTTAAATGTGATCTGGTGCCAGTCTGTTTTTGCATGTTTCAATTTTCCAGACGGCTTTATCGACTGTTCAACTTTAAAATGAAGTCCAAAAACTTGAATAAATACGATTATATCTGTTGTCAACATCTTTGTGACTTCCGACAGCACATCATCCGCACTATTCTTTTTCGCTGATGAACTCACTGAATTTTATGTCACTGCACTCTGTGCTTTATTTTCAGTTTCATTTAGTGTTTTAAATTCATGTGACTGTACCTTCCTTTCATCACTAGGTCATCAGAATGTAGTAGATTTTCTCAACCGTTTGAATTCCTATTCACGCTGAAATTTCATTGGGGATGTGGGAACACATGTGACTCGTAAACACGATCCATTGTCTAGTTCTGATCATTGTATAGTTAGTTTTATATTTAAAGTGTATGGAGAGATTGTAAAGAGTAAGTCCTAACATTAGACAAGGAAAGTCAAATTCTGGAATTGTCCAAAATTTGAAAAACATGTTTTGTGCGACCAATTGGTGATTACTTAAAGAAGAATCATTGGAAAACACTTGTTGCCCCACTGAAATTATTTTTGAAGGTTTTGGTGGACCCACATCTTCAAAACTAAAATTATTGCGGATGGAAATAGAGAGAATGTACAAGGAGAAAATCTCAACTGAATTCCGAAAGCTAAATTGTTTATTAAACCTAGAGATTAGATGTCTGAACTCATTGTTTATTCAGAAACTCTGATCTTGTAATAACCCTTCAAGCAAGTGGAAACTATTTAAAGAACATACTGGTGACAGACAGAAGTGATAACCATCTGAATGTTTGGGAATGAAATATGTCTTCTTGTACATAAGTCATCTGATGTCATGCTTCATACATTCACAGGTTTGAAGAATAGTTTTGTACCGATTCTCACCTAAAATGACGTCCGAAAATGTCCCCAGTCACCTAACTTATCCCAGTGTTTAGGACATGAAAAGATCCTAAACCTTTTTGAAAAAGTGTACTGACGTTCTGTGTTATCTATCCATGAGCATCTTAAATAGATCTTTCTCAAACTATCTCATACAGAGAATGTGGAGAAAGGTAAAAATAATCCCAATACCTAGGAAAGTACCTGGCGATAAGAAAGTGAATTTTAGACCCATACCAATGACTTCATCTTTTTTCAAACAATGGAAAAATCATTGATACTCTTACTTCAACCCACAGTAAGAGAGCACATTGATCCGTTTCAACTTGCTTACAAATACAAACGAAGCAACGTAGATATTGTTGTTGTCTTACATTATATTATAATGTTCATCTTGGAAAAAAGCAAAGAATGTGTTTGATGCGGTTTTCTGTGCTATTCCTCTGCCTTTCGCTCTATTCCAAGACAACTTTTTCTTAACAAGTTAATCAGCGTCAACACTGACAGCTGAACAACCAAATGGCTAATTTTCTACCCCTATGGAAAAGGACTGTACGCTGCGTTTGGAAAAAAGTGTTCGGCATCTCCACTTTCTTATGAGGATGTGCCACAAAGAACTGTCGTTTTCTTTCTCCTTTTACCTTTTTTTCTGCATGATCTGCTGTATTCCACAAAAACACTTTTGTGAAATATACGGAAGATTTCACTGTATGAATACCGTTTTCTGCCTCTTCACATCCCCTTGAAATGAATGTGCTCTTGTCTCGTATTGAGTGGTGGTCTGTCTGTTAATGGTCTCATACTTACCCCGTCTAGATGTCAAGCTGTTAACTTTAGTCTGAGACACAAATAACGCTTATATAATCTGTTGAGATTCCATAAATATTGTTACACTGGAGATTCTTAGATCAAGTGTCAAAAGATATTTATCTTGGTGTACGTTTTTCGTCTGATCTCTCTTGGTCTTGAAGATGTCACAGATATTCGGATTTTGACAACGCTTTAACCAGTAACACCTTCTATTATGAAGCATACCCACCAAGTGAAATCAAAAGACAGAAATGAGGGGATTCGAATATATATTTGATAAGCTATCAATATATCGAGGATCGTCTGATCTAATCTGGCTGGCGATTGCAGAGGTTGTTGAGCACGGCGTTTCCACTCGTGATCTGGTGCGAATGCATGGCCGAGCGCCTTCAGCTAGGTGAGTCCATTAAAACTTATGTGGTCAGCTTCCAATGTCGAAAACTTACAGAGCTATTTATTTTAAGGATTTATTTAACTCTACAGACCACTCCTCCCCCTAGTAGAGTAGTAATGACCCTAAGACGTGGCCAGCCAGAAGTTTAAACCCAACGAGTTTGTCGTTGGTAAACACTCTTCTGATAGCTCGCTAGGTTTAACAGCGTCTGGTCGTCTTTACTTACAATAAGGGACCATGAAATACAATATAGTAAAAAAATAATGTACAATGAAAATTTTCGGTTCCTCGTAAACCTCATCGTTTTTTTTATCGTCTTTTCCAGCCGTCCTGGAAAAAGAAAAAGAAAAAGTGCATGTCTCAGTTATTTCTGTCTGCCTGTTTCTAGATGTTTCCTGATTTTTTTGACTTAAAGTTACACAGTCTTGTACACTACCGTGCTTTATGACCGTACACCTTGTGGTATCAGCAGATGACTGCCGTCGTTTTTGGCGAACTGGACCGGTATCTGTAAAATAGTCTTATTTCAGAGTTACTTTTCGTTCGGATCTGTCAAATACTCGCTCGCTGTGTAGAGAATCTTATACATATGTTCCCAAGCAGATATTCACGTACCTATCTACTTTCAGTATTTTTCACATACTTATGAAAATCAGGTAACCATATTACCCTCTGTGTTGTTGTCTTCATATATCTGGAAGCTTTGTGTATTCTGCCGCCTACTGTTCACGTGCAAGTGATATGGCTAGTGTATTTTCAGTAAGGATCCTTTTGCACGGTTTGTGTGATAATGCATCTCCCCTACTTTATCAGTGATTGAGACCGAGAGTAACCCTGGAACGGCATTGGAGAAGTTTTGCATCAAATATGCTTTATCAAAATATAACTTTTTTCAAGTTTTAATATCTACGCTGTTATTAATGAGATTATTCGACAGAACGTACGTGAAGCCTAATAAAATCGATAATTCACCAACAACACACAACTGTAATAGTCAGTAAGTCGAACTCAAAATAGGTAGCGAGAGGTTCTTTTAAGTCTGAATCCTCACTTTTTACACGAAGAATTAAATTGATCGGCTTCGTTGTTACAGACAAATAGCTAGGTCAACCTTCAAAGAATAAGCTTCTTGTTTACTTGGACATTAGGTGATGATGTACTTCCTGCCTTGGTTTGGACACTACATTCCTGCTTTCTCTAGTCGAGTACTCCACTACCTTCAAAACACATCATTCGACAGCTACTAAAATTCCGACCTCCGATTTTACATTGTTTACGACAAGTGGGATACTCCTATCTTGATCGCTCAGTATAAAACTGCGACTAGAAATATTTATCGTTGCGGTCAGATAATAATAGTCTTTATTAGTGAGTTCATGACCAGAGTCAATCTCCTGCTGAAGGATACTTTACAAACAATCATCTTTCACATAGTGCTGAGCCATAGTCACTGAAGAATGAAGGATTGGTGTACTGATTAACCACTAGTATAATCATATAGTTATTTTTCAACGTACTTGCAATCTTCAATGTTAAGAATTCTAAAACACCACTACAATAAAGCTTTTAGCCATCAAGCAGTTCCATGCCTAGTTTATTGGAGTCACAGTGACGAAATAAATATTTTATGAACTCTTTGTTTGTACTAATCAATTACCATCTGTCCTTCATACGTCAAGGCTGTGAAAGGTCGATCGGGTGATACATTGGGCGACTGGTCGCATTTATAATGATTGACTACAGGGTCTTGTGAGCCTTCTGGTGGTCTCGTCAGCACACCATTTGTCATACGCTGGATTTATATCGTGACGTATTCCATCAAACAGTGAATATGATTCAGGACTCCGAACCTCAGAAGTTGCTCTCCAGCAATGCCGATCCTGTAAGATCTAGTGCAATGCAAAAGAAAATACGGCAAAAGTATTTTAAAAATGATGCTGTAATTAAAGGTTTGTCATGTAAAATCGCAAACTCATCCTTGAAGCTTATAAGTGTGATTTAATGAGCCAGAATATAAATACTCCTGTTAAGCTTTACGTTTGTCATTCTGCCTTAAATCTTGTCCATCGTCCGAAGCGAAAAATACTGGTATGTGGTCTTACTCATCATAGTTTTCGTTTAGACAGCACTCCTCTACAGTCAAATCGTTGAACTTAAAGTCCAAAATGAACACTATGTAAATATACTCACCACTAGTAACGTAAGTTTTGTAAACCAAGTTTTTTTGTCAACATTTGTTGCGCTTTGTATAGTTCAAGGTTTATTTTTGATCTTAACTACAAATAATATTTATTATCTTCTAGGAGACGTACACTTTGGCTAACTTTGAACGATCAGACTCAGCTATAGCTTTTCTACGCAATTATTGGGAGGTCATTTTAAAAGAGAAGGCAAGTTTTTATGTGTTCTATTACTTACAAAGTACGGCGCTTTTTGTCTTCAGTAATTCTAGTCTCCTTTTGATTTAAAGTTGATGTATTCTCCATACTTAGTGCTCGCTTGGCTAATCAGTACTATGTATTAGCGTTTCATGTTTAGGTATTCTGATAGACTTAAGTAGTAACTTTTCGGGAAAACTGCCAGCCCACGTTTTGAACACACCATCGGCCACTTCTCGTTCCGTCTTCGGACAGTCTAATTTTCGTCTTAAAGAAAAACAATGATTTGTTACTGCAGTAAACAAAATTATAACATCTCATTACTATGTTCGTGTTTGATTTCTTAATAAAATGGCAGAAGTCTTTTCCCCTAAGAGCACATCTTCACTTTCTAGTCAAAGAAGATCTGTGTGATTAGACTTCAAGGTTTAAGTAGTTCAATCTTCAGGATAGAAGACCTTAGTTATCTGCGCCCGTAATCAACCATTCATTCATCAACCCCTTAGGCTTTTATCAACAGCAAGTTGCAATGCAACCAGAATTCATTAGATATGTTATTCCAGTTTTAAATTATTTCGAATTGCTTTCGCTTTCTAGTGGTGTTTGCTGTTATTTTTATCACTGTAACAGCTCTAGTAGTTACCCTAGAATATTGAAACTGTAGAATTCTCCGTGTAGGATAGCCGGTGAGACTATAATTTACGGACGACATTTGAGCAACCCTAAACTGACCGTCATAGTGTCCACCTAATAACTAGGACCAAATGAGGGTTATTAACTTGTATGAGGAATTCAAATTATGATTTACAGTTGATGGTTAATGTTATGAATTATATTTGTGGTTTTCATCACTAACTGACCTGCTAAAACTCTATTTAGCCAAAATGATGAGTGAACTTCGCACCAAAATCCGAGAACTGTTATCTTATGCGTGATTGGTCCGTCTACAAATTATGGTCTCGCCGGATAGCCATTTCGATCCATTTTTTCAACTCCAAACCACAATAATTATGATGTTTTAGGACTAGGAAGCCTCAGTTGTTTTTAGAGAAATTTCGGGTTAATAAAACATGACTCCTGGTTGAATTGTAGTTGCGAAATATAAAGCGTCTTGAGTCTAATAATTTGTCTCCCAAGCTAACATCATGAATTCGAAAAGGTGTTTTCAGATGTAGGTAAACTTGTAAGTTGTTAATAAGGAAATAAAGTAACGGAGTTATGTCCTACAGAAATGTTTGATGTCAAATGTTCGGTAGGAGCAATCACTTCGGTAAATATATATATAGGCTAATCCACATTTAGCACGTTTTTCCCACTTAACTTCAGTGTATCATAAATGTCTGTTAGGTTTGTTGTCAGTTAGTGATAACAATTATGTAATATCTTTTGGAGAATGTTCTGGACTATGTTTGTTAGTATGCATTTTGAGTGCTAAATAAGATTCAATGAAATAATTTTCTGTAAACCTAACGAACAATAAATGAAACTGTAGAATATGAGTAATCAATAATAATGAATGATGCGGTATACGTAGACTAATAGTTCTTATTCTATTAACTCTAAACAGTGTCTAGTCGAAACACTTCACTAGAGTAAATGTGCTGGACTGAAAAGGATTTTTTTAAGAATTCATTCCGAAATATGGAACATTATCAGCAAAAACTTGTTCTTGTGTTAGTTTAGGTAGGGGTAAGATTTCAGGGAGAATTAGGACAGCGTTTAGATGGAGTTATTCTATTCAAATAATATTCAAAATATAACACCAGCCAACCATCAAACCAGTCAGAGATGAATCAGTACTCTTTTAAGGTCATCTCAGTTAACGAATTCATAGGTACTGTACTACGCAAGTATATATAGGAAGAATTTTACAAACTTTTACGAGTTTATTTCTCGAGACCTATACTTGAGTGGAATCAAATACTTCATGAATGCTATCGTCAGACACAAAGTGAACACCTTCGACAACTCTGAACTTACCCCACTTCAGAGTAGCGATTGGCATCAAGCTTTCCCAACTTCATCTATGTATATAGGAAGGAAAACATTTTAATTCCCCCTTTTCACCAATAAAAATACCAATACTGAGATAAATTGACCCGTTATTCGTGTACATGTGTGTAGTGTATTATATTTATATTCTACTTCTTTCTCTGCTTACTTTCCAGTGTTTTTCTACATCGTGTGGAAGTTCGCCAGCTAACAGATTATTCGTTAACAATAATAATAACACTAATGATCCTTTAGCTCACCCAAATGCAATTATAAGTGATCTCTACAATCGTTTGCTGATTTCAAAAGGTTCAACTACTGTCAGTTTAACAAGTACCAGTGGTGGTGCCACAGGAAGTATTAGCAATAGTGAAACGGAGAGCGTTGTTGGTGTAAAAAAACAAGGTGGGTAATTAACGTACATAAATATATATGTACACTAGTTCGTGTTCATTATTAATTGGTAAAGTTTGTATTTCCTCGTTTTAATTTAGAACTCAATTTGATCGGTCAGTCTTCGTGTGCAGCTAGCTATATCCTACATCTAATAAGTGTCAAATAAGATGAAATACGTAATTCAGATTCCCTTGTTAGTTATTAATCAAATGACACTTTATATGCATTGCTTCTCATCCTGTTAATACTTACTCTTTCTATATCTCTGTGGCTGTTTTACTTATTTAAACACAAACTATTGGTACAATGGGGCACCAAAATACATATGTGCCACACAAATCATTGGATTTTTAAGTGGGTTGGGATACTGCCCCTGACCTTTGACTCAGGTGTCTAATCCACGAAGCAGTGGAACAACGTCAAGATATGCGGTCTCATAGTAGGCAGTGATCAGAAATAGGTTCATACGCCATTTGTTTCCTCAGGATCCTGGAGACCATGTGTGCCATTAGTTTGGAGTCAGGATTTATCAACTTTTCTAGCTGGATCCATCAACCCGGTTTAACTTACAGGAATTCACTTTCCGTCCCCTCAATCAAGTAAACAACACCGAGAAATCAGTGCGCAGAACTTCCCTGTCAATGAATATACACGCGTGGCCATACGAGAGCATTTTGAGGAGAAAAGTGGGCTGTCTTTACCTTTAGTTGTGCCTCTTTCTGTGCTGATTTAAAGTTGGTTTGTTGGAGCGCAAAATTAAGGTATACTTCCAGATGATCTTGAAATTTTAACGTGTTTTAGTAGCAAATATGAATAAATGGGTAATGATACAAAATCAAAGAACTTGTAATGGAATTTACTATTTTCACATCATAAATGAACTCTTCCAAGTTACCTATAGGTTCGTAACCGTTAATGTTTAAGGTTAGTATCGTGGTTTACGATTAAAATTCCGAGTTACCTTAATAGAGTTAGGGCTAGGGGGGTTTTAAATTATTTTTTTAGGTTACAGGGTTAATGTTTAGGATTACAGTCAGAGTGTATGGTTAACCTTAGTGTATCTCAAACATAACTCTGACCATGAACTCTACATTGTGATCTGCTATTAACCGGGCAAAATTCCATATCACTTTGAGTCGATTTAAGTCATCCGTATAATATAGTTTCACCTATTTAATGATATCTTCGTCATTGAAATTAATTATAGTACAGTTCATAGTCATTATCTTATTACTTAATGTAGTTCTCATAAACGATCCGCTGGATTGATATATACACACTGACTTTGTACTCACCTTTTCTATAGTGATTAGTTCATTAGTATGATTGGTACAAGGAGGCAAACAGATATGCGCCACATAAATCATTCGATTTATGTGAGGGCTGGGATACTTTCCGGCTGGTGGTTTTCTTAGGGGGCCACACTCTGAGCCTTTGACCTAAAGGTCTAATCCACATGGCAGTGGAGCAACGTCAGGAGATGCAGTCCCATAGTAGCAGGTGACCAATAATTGGTTAATACGCCATTTGTTTCTTTAGGATTCTGGAGCCCATGTACACCACTGGTTTGGGATGAGGGTTTTCCAACTCCTCTAGGTGGATTCTCTGTATCCAACAACCGGTTTAAAGCGCCGAACATTCGCTTTTCATCCTCTCAGTTTCATAAACAACAGTAATGCCGCGAGAAGGCAATAAGTAGGACTTCCCTTGCAGTGATTGTATGCACGTGGCCAATTGAAAGCATTTGAGAGGGAGAGCTGGCTCTCTCCACTCTCGGTCGTACCAAGGCATTTGGAGGCACTTTGGCGTTACTCTATTTTCATGTTTATTTGTACGCTTAGAATTTTCACTTATACTTGGATTAGCCTTTTCTCTTCAACTCCGTTAGTTATGATTATCACAACTTGAATTGATACTCTGTAAAAAAATGTACACTAAATTGTGATGTTATTCTAAACAATCAAATAGTTTTGATTACTTTTACAAAATAATTTTTCATATTTAGGAATATATGTCCCTTTAGTTTTGTACTTTATCTTCGTGAATCGTTAAACAGAACAAATATGAACTATCAACCGTTATAAGATAGTATTTTGTTTAGTCAACAAGTAAAGTATATAGATTATTAAATCCTTCACTGTTATATTTATATATATTTCTGACATACTAACGTATCGATAAAATTTTGTACTTTTTCCTAATGTGACTTCATTTCATATGATGTTCATGAATTGTAAACTATTTATAAATGTCTAAATTCGATTTGATATTGTCAATATTGTAAGCAGTACTTTGATGTATCGATTGTTTTCTTTTCAATGAATGAATGCCTTGATCCATTTCCCTGTACCAATGATATATTAGTGATAACAGTTAATGGACTAATACATCATTGTTGTTAATGCTACTATCGATGTAATTAATGTGGGGATCATGAAGTTTTTTATAAAGCCTTCCGTAATGATACTTCATTCATAACTTAGTAATTGGTTGTAAACATTCAACGACTGGTTTTATTTACATGAGTTTAGTAGACATCAGAGACACATCAATTGACGTCCTAATGCTTTTGTCATATAATTGTTCCATTTTTATCCTGACGCTATATACAATTATGTTTGTTATTTGGATGCTTAGATATTCCACATACGTCACCTAATAATTCAAGCCTTTATAGTATATTGAATCGAATTCATACCTGTTTAACCAAACTAGTAACTATCCAAACACAGTAGCTCAATGGATAGTGCACTAGATGTTTGAAGTTTAGGGTACCGGGTTCGAGCTCTTGTCCGGGCACCAACACTGGAATAAGACAAGCACTTATAATAAAATATGAGTCGCAGGTGGGATGAAACACTCGTTACAGATTTCACTGCTAACCACAACCCATAAAAATTTTAATTCACTTGAACAAAAATTCAGATTCTTGTCTCTGAATATGGTTGAATAGCTTAACACTAAGTATTCAATCTATTAAATCTTGTTGCTCTCCTTCTCTTCAGATTAGCTACAACCTGTTTAACTTTAAGCCCAGTTAGTTAGTCATTCAAACGCAACGTAGAACTTGGGACATGTTTACATCATAAATTCCCTATGTAAAATTTCAGATCTAATGACGTTAGTATGTAAAAGCTTTATAGGATTGTGGAGTTTGTTGAGTTTGAATGAAATCATTAGTCGATCGATGTTAGACTGCCATTGGAAACCTGGAAGAACTATAGTTCCGCGTTCAGGGTCGTGGATGTGCACTGCTCAGGAGTCCCATAGTACGACGAAACAGCCATCCAGTGCTTCTAGGTTTTCAACGGTGGTCTAACATTGATCAGCTAAATATTTCAATGAAACTCAGATTCCTAGCCACAGAGTATAATAATGTTGTTACATAGAACTCGATATTTTTTTAGTGAATTAGGTTCATCAAAAGTTTTTCTCATTTGATTTATATTTATTCTGTGAAACATATCGAATCAGTGTAAGTTTTATAATTATGTACTGTTTGTATTTTTACTGACAATTCAGAATCTTCAATTCGTAAATTGAGTCTGAACGTTCGTAAACCATCTCCCATTGGATTCAATCAATTAAATGAAGAAATAACAAATAAAAATGTCGATATTGGATCCAACGTTGTTACTCAACGTAATGATGATTTCAATGCTACCAGCCCAATTGTAAATAATCTATATTCCACTTCAACCCCTTCAAATATCCCTATGAAACGCAATAATACTTCAGTTTATCAACATACTAAACCTTACAATAACGAAACAGTCAATACTAATAATATTAATAATAGTAATAAGTTTAATCTTAATAGACCGAATGTTACCATTTCAACCGATTGGAATTGGTGGCCATTTAATGTCCTTACCTATCTGTTTAATGCTTCTCCTTCACAAAGATTTACCATGATGATTGCATATGCCATGTAAGTGTTATCTAATTTTTACTAATGTCATTTACTACATACCATATTTCTGTAAATCTAATCGAAAAGAACTGAACATTTGTTTCGATCTAGTTTACAACTTATCCATCAACAGGGAATATTCAACATGATTATACTAAGATCAAACAGACGAGTACCGATAGAATACTCTTCCGGAGAGACTTGTTAATTAATGAATTCATTCCTATGTATGGATTCATTAGTACTTATTGCCAAAGAATTCTCAAACTACGGCGAGACAACTCCCAAGTACTTCTTGATTTTCAATAAGTCACTGAGCCTGATATCAATTTGTGATGAAAAACACCCTTAAGTTTTGTATGAAACATGTAAGTTATCATCGATAGAATAGCGATAAAACCTTTTCCTTTGTAAAGCACTGATGAGATGTTACGTGATCGTAGTTAATCGGCAGGAAAGTATGGACATGCGTTTCATACTAGTTAGTACTCGTCAGTAAGGCGCATACCTATAATCTTCATGGAAATGACATACTTTATGGGATTCGAATCCGTGCCGCTCAACTTTACAGTTTGAAATATCGTTGAGTTACTTGAGCAGCTACTGTAGGACTGATGTTCCTGATTGAATAATCACTAAATAGTGACCGAGACATTGAATCAATCAGATTAATGGCCACATCACAACTTGGTTGTTAGAATTTGGTCAGTACTAAAAGACTAGATAAACATGACATTGGTTACTAATCAATACTTGACGAACTGGAATCTACTTATACTACTAATCACAATATATCCATTATAATGTAATCGTATAGTCAATATTACTTACTTACTTAAACCTGTTACCCTTTGTCGAGGAGAATAGGCCGCCCACCAACACTCTCTATCCAACTCTGTCCCAAGTAATCCTTCCTTGTTCTTTCCACTTGGTATTCATCCTTTTCATGTTTGCTTCTAATTCCCGACACAGTGTGTTCTTCGGCCTTCCTCTTTTTCCGTTTCCCTTCAGGATTCCAAGTTAGAGCTTACCTCGTGATGCAGTTTGGTGATTTCTGTAGTGTATGTCCTATCCATTTCCAACGTATTTTCCTAATTTCCTCTTCAGTTAGAATCTGGTTTGTCGTCTCCCACAGGCTGTTGCTAATGTTATCCGGTATTATCAATCTAACAGTAGTAATAATTTGAAAGATTTGCTGTTGAGAAAATAGGGAATTTTTTTTCAATTTATAAAAGTTACCATAAGATTAATTATTTTATGAGTGGTTATTGAACCACTAATCCACCAAGGATCTTATTAACTGTGTGGTTTTACCACACGTTTAAGCTGCACTGTTCATATTATAGAGACTGGATAGTGTCTTGTTCTTCTGAAAACCAGTGTTAAATTATCCCCTTCCAGGGTATATATATTCATAATCATGAACAATTGTTAAATCATTTATAAGTTTCAGTAATCCCGACCGTTGCTGCTACCTTAACGTGGTGACTGGGCTTGCCTATCGCAATGAAACAAACGAGCTATACTGGCTGGAAATATTGTTTTTCAGATCGGTTGAAGAGCGGTAAGACTAAAAGCAACAAGTCCAAGGTCCGAAGGCGAAGTCGTACTGCTGATTGTACAGAGATGTGACAGCAGTAAGGTTTTTCTTTCAGACAGCCAGCATGACAGCGATGCTGCCTTCCCACAAGGAGGGGTGGGGTTGGAAAAGGTGAACCCTAAAAATGCACACCTCGCCTAATCCCACGGATATCCGCCTCGAGCGGTAAGGTCTCAACAAGTACGAAGCTGACACGAAAATTACTCATAGAAAAGTCGTGTGTGACCGACCGATCGACTATGGTTTCACTAATTACTGAAAAATTTCTCTCATCTTCCATTTGGTAGATAACCAGTTTCTTGAATCTTTTCCATATGCTCAATGTCATTGTTATAATGTGTTTCTTTGTTTAGTTAAGTAGTGTCCTTCTTTTCGAATCAGTAATGAAGCTGTGAATCAGTTGTTAATACATTATTTAGCTTCCAACTGTTAGGTCACGAATTCGAACCATTCTTAGTCTATTTCAGCTCATACACGAAAAAATGTAGCTTAAAGTTCTTAATATTGCACACAATAAATGAACTCTTCATTTGTACAATGTTTGATAATCACTGAGTAATATCAATAATATCTTGTAGATTAGTGGTTCCAAAGCCTATTATTTGCTACTTGATATCTTAAACACCACAGTAGCATTTCTGGATGATACGTTGTATGACCAATATTTTAGTCAATTCACCTAGTGTTTACATGTACTGTGGAGCAACGGCTAAAAGGCATAAAACTCTGGAATTCCAATCACTTATTTGTAACTTCAAATCCTATTCTATTCACCTTTATTTAGAGAACAGAATGGCTAGTTTAATAGTATAGTTTGATAAAATCTCAACACGGATACTAAAAACTCAATTTGCGTTTACCGACTTTTATCTTTTATGGAATAGTCAAGATATCTATCTGCAAACCAAAGAGGAATTATACTGCACACCAGTTCGATCTGGTTTACTTTATAGTTGTCAAATATGGTGTATGGAAATAAAATATATACATAAGCTTTACGTTTTGAATCATGGGTGTCTTCGGAGCATTGCTTCTGTATCATAGAACAATTGAGGAAGTAAGTACAAAAAATCGGTTGACTAAACTGTAAATCCTCATCGACTAAGATGACAATGCCTAACCATCATCTACTTCGATGATTGATGTAAAACTATGCTAGGAGAATGATAGAGGTAGTCGAACCAAGACATGTCATTGACCGTTTGCTTGAACCTTTAAGATAGATAAAACTGTATCTAGTTAGGGTCCACATAATAACCACAGTCAGTAGTTGGAAACATTGGATGTGATAGGTCAGAATCGTCTACAATCAGTCGAATTCATTCACTCTTTATCTTCCTTTAAATGTTGATCTCCAATATCACATCATACATATATTTTCTTCTTCTCTTTTAGAATCATATTATCAATGATTAACTTTTCTGATTATCATCACTACTGCATAATTCCCATTCACATTTATTATTCATTTTCCCATCTCAACATTTTATGATAGCTTTGGTTAATGAGTATTTATACTAGACCCTACATTGATCATGACTGTGACTCTATTAAATGTTATTTATGAATGAGTTCGTAGCCAATGAAGAAATTCAAAATTTGGCTATCATTTAACTAAATTAACAATTCACTTAATCCAAAGTTGATTAACTCACAAAACAACTACTTGTACATGTATGTCAGTTATAATCATTTTAATTATTGAAGTTTCAGATAACAAAATAGGTGAGACTATAATTTATGAATGACTTTTAAACGATCCTAGACTGACCTTCAGAGTTTCCATCTAATAACTAAGACCATATGAAGGTTATAAACCTGTGCCATAAATTCGAATTATGATTTACAGTTGATGGTTAAGATTAGGATTTATATTTAGGGTTTTCACCATGAACTGACATCAACTATAATGCCAAAATTCTATTTAACCAAAATGATGAGTGCATTCCGCACCAAAATCCGAGATCTGTTATCTTATACCTGATTGATTCGTCCCATAAATTATAGTCTCGCCACAAAATGTCTAGGTATCATCATCACTTATTATTCTTCCATTTATTCTCTCAATTTTCTTTTCTAGTTTAGGTTTTTTGTTCTTGTCAACAATACATCTTTATCATCGATTAGCATTAATTGATTTACAAACTGGTCCAGCTATACGCCGTGCTGGAATGAATCATCCATCATCTACATCTACTTCAGAATTACATAATTTAGAAGTACAATTAACTCATTTAACTCAACTTGCTTCAAAAATGGTTGAAGCACTTGGTCATTTAACATCAGAATTAAATAGTTTCGTATTATATTCTAATCCAGAGAAATTTTCACCAGATCAATCAACTATGAATACATGATATTATTGTATACAAGATGTAATTATTATCATTATCACTATCATTATATGTCTCGTATTATTGTTGCATTTCATTTCCATAGTCTTGTTTGTTGATTTTTCTTCCTTTGTTCCAACACTATCAGATGAAAACGCGCGTGTAAACACACACACGCACATACAAGCGTATTACAGTGTTATCTAACAAGTTAACAGATACACTTGTTTTTGTATATATCCTTCTTTATGAATGTATTTCTTCTTTCTCTTTGTATGTATAGTTCATTATCATTTATCTAAACAGTATCTACAATTTATCAGACTATATATCTGATCTCATTATTTAGAAAAGAAAAAAAAAAGAATAATACTCTCTATCACTACCCCCTTCCCTTTTTTTTACCTATTTTTGCTTCTCCTTCCGAAAAATATACACTACTACCTCTCTTTTCAATTGTCATTCATGTAACTAAAAGTTCATTGGTGTTGTTATCACTATCTCATTATTTTCTATTGTGGTTCTAGATTTTCATGATATACTATCATGTGGTAATAATGGTATTACCACACAATGTTTTATTCCTTCTCTCTTCTTTGATTTTCTCTGTCACTTTTTCCATCTCTCTCTGTTACATGCTATACATGTTGACTTTCTTATTTCTTCTGCCAGTATTCTACTCTATTTAACTTGCTTTTTAGAGATACACATGTTAATTTGTTTGTCTCTTTTAAAATCTCATTCTGTTTTTATTCACTTACTCTGATCCATATAGTGCATGTGTGTATGCATTTCTATTTTCTTGTTCTAATATAGGTGTCTACTTTCTTTTTCTCTCTTTTCTTTTCGCTTTAATGTTTATCCTGTCAGCTATACATAGATGACACTAGCGTTCGATTTGGATCAATCAGCTGTTGCGAACTTCATTCTTATCGAATAGTTTGTTTTCTAAAAGAGTTTTAGGATTAATTCACTTATTTGATTGTTATTCTACTTTCATATTCAATCCTCTCCTTCTTTGTATTCTCTACAACAATAAGTCTTTCAATATGAAACTCTACTACCACTAGTACTGCTACTACTACTACTACTAAATACTGTGTACGTTTGTGTCCCAAGTTTCTGTGTAATAATTATTTTTTTGTTTGTTTACTATCATAATTATTATTCTTGTTGATATTTTGTTTCTGTTCTCGTTAACTTTCTTTGTCTGATCTCGGTATTTCATTTCTCCTTGTTGTTCTCTTCTTCTTCTTCTCCTCCTCCTCCTCCCTCACGATCTACAACAAACTCTTTATATATTTTTTGTTGTTTAACTCATCTTTTCAGTTGAAAAAGATGGATTGTTGTTTTCTGTTTGTCTGCTTCTTTGCCTTTTCCGTTTTTTTTTTTCAAAGGTAAAGTGTTTATTCCTTCTTGTTACGTCTAGTTGATCTTTTCATTCATGTTGACTTACATGTTTATTATTATTACAACTGATGATAATATTTGTACTGATTACTATTATACATACATATCTTGTATGTGTATTGTAAACAAAATGACAAATCTGATTTAATCAGTAAATAATAAATTAATTTAAATCATATTGAAATGTTATTGTTATTATTATTGTCATGTATTGTATTCTGTTATTATTATTATTTTAACACATAGATATTGGTACAAGGAGACATCAAATATATATGCGCCACACAAATCTCATTTGATATGTGCGAAGGCTGTGATACTGTCCGGATGCCTAAACCGAAGCAGGTGGTTTTCTTAGGGGGCCACACCTTGAGTCTTCGACATAAAGGTCTGGTCCACAAGGCAGTGGAGCAACGTAAGGAGATGCAGTCCCATGGTAGTCGGTGATCAACGATTAGTTCATGCGCCATTTGTTCCCTCGGGATATTGAATTGCATGTGCAATCAGGGTTTTCCAACTCCCCTGAGTGGACTCTTTATGTCCACCAACCCGGTTAAAGCGCCGAACATTCACTTTTCATCCTTTCAATTTCATGAACAACAGTAATGCCATGAGAAGGCAGTGAGTAGTAGTATTCTATCTTTATTCTTATTAGAGTATCCTATCCTGGTTGTGTGACGATGATGTAAAGATGATGGAATAAGGTGTTACATTAAATTCGTATAAAATACTTGGCTTTAAGCCATATTCTAATTGTGAAAATTTATAATACTATTTAGTTGTCTAAACTGAAGTAGGTTGAGCATAAGTTCAATGTACGAGTTGATAGATGGAAGTTGAATACTTTAATCAGTGAGCCTTCACTCCATTATCATGTAGTAGTAGTAGTGTAGTGAACAGAACACTGGTGGGGACAATCGAATGTATTTAACACAAAATTACAGGACTTGTTAATAAAATCTAACCATCATAAAGTAAATACGTAATTTGAAAAATGTCCATCAATTGTCTCATAATGACTTAGACTTCATTGTTCTTGCATTTTCATAGAAATTGCATTTTGTTTCCATTCTTTACTGTTCGATCCTCTTGTCTCTCTACTGCCAGACATTCTGTTCACGAGTAACATCATCTACTACTTATGTCAATATAAGTAGCACACACCACAGTCGTACACTGAATTATAGCAGATATTCTACTAAAAAAATATTGAAATATGCAAATCAGTGTTATTCATTATAGTTTAGTCATTAATTTGCATAATCTACCTTTTATGTTAGTTATTTGACTGAAGAATGAGATTTATGTTCAGTTAAAAACGCTATATTATAAATTACATAATAGTCAGACTAATGGACTTCAGTAGATTGGAGCACAAATGAGAAACCTTGTATTTCATCGATTTCGGTTTGAGAAGCCAATTAATAAGACTAGTCTTGAAATGGTGGAGTACATGAACACTAGAACTTAACTGACAGCTTTCGCTCAATTACAGGAAACCATACTACATCGTAGGTGTAATATTACTCACATTTCATTGATATTTTGTTTTCAAATGAGACTAGTTCCTTTAAAATGAGTTTCATTGACTGTTACATGAGAAATGATGATTAGCACACCTATTTTCTAGGTAAAATGAATATCAACTAATGGTTTACTCAAATCCCTAATGATAATCGAAATTTCCTAATCAAATATGATTTATTAATGGTTGAGATCATGAGTTAATTGAAACTAGATCACTATAGAAAACCTGGAAGCACTGGACAGGTGTTTTGCAAAATTGTGGGACTCCTCAGCAGTGCGCAACCGGGTCTGTTGTGAAATAGTAACTCACTGAAAAGAATGGCGGATGTGTCGCTCAATTCCATGGATTAATTAAAGTTAGACATTAACACCGTTAGATGCCGTCTCAGTGGTCTAAAGGTTAAGCGTTCGCGTACGAGATCGATAGGTCCTGGGTTCGATTACTTTGGTACAATATAGAATTCTCAGTACAAACTATTTCAACACGTTTCCGTTTCTTACTTCTTGGTCGATCCTAACGATAAATATTGATTGATCGCCAGTTAGATGTTAGCAGTTCACTCAATCGACATCTAAATAATGTACAATCTTTTATCTGCATATTGCCTGAAACCATGACATCTCTGATTGGGCCTTTTGTAACTTGTACAAAGAAAGGTTGTACACATTTCAGAAAGGTATTTGAATAAGTTATGCGATTAGTGGATATAATAATGTATTAGGACAAACAAGAATAAATAACTTGTTGAAATATCCGGATGATAGGAACAGGTGACCCAGATACTCAAACAGGTTGCCAAGTTGACAATGAAATAAAGATGGTGGAGAAGATTTGTAGCTCAGGTGGATGATTTTGATGGAGTTTTGTTCTCAGAGGTGGATGATTTCGTTGTGGAGCTTTCATCGTTCTTCTGAACGACATCATTAGCACAAACTTCAGTTGACTTCTACCTGAAGTTTGTGCTAATGATGTCGTTCAGAAGAACGATGAAAGCTCCACAACCAAATCATCCAGCTCTGAGAACAAAACTCCATTTAAAAAAATGAAATAAAGGCTTAATAGAACAGATATTTGTAATTACTGTTTGCTTATTTTTTTACCAGACATATATTTGGATCAGTTAAATACAATATAAAACCCTTTATGTGTACATATCAGTACAAGAATTCTATTATCTAATCATGGAATATTTTATGTAATCGACTTGACTTGACGATTGTCAGTAGATGGTTTGTTGAATATTCTCAATGTGATGATATGTTCGTGAAATTTGGAAAACTTTCTATTAACGTCAAGACAGTTCCATTGTATGGAGCTGAAATTTGGAGAACTAGTATAACCATTATCAAAACTGGTACAAGTATTTATAAAGAGTTGTCTACTCAAGATAATCAATATCCATTGGTCGGATTACCATCAGGAACAGCCTAATGTAGGAGAGAACAAACCAGCCTACAGTTCAAGAGAAAATTAGGAAAAGACGATGCAAGTGGATAGAACATATATTGCGGAAATCACCAAACTGAATCATGAGGTAAGCCGTAACTTGGAATCCTGAAGGAAAACGGAAAAGAGGAAGGCCGAAGAACACAATGTGTCGGGAATTAGAAGCAAACATGAGAAGGCTAAATAGCAAGTTGGAAGAACAGGGAAGGATTGCTTGGGACAGGGTTGGATAAAGAGTGCTGATGGGCGGACTATGCTCCTCGACGAAGGGTAACAGGCGTAAATAATTAAGCGAGTAACTGCCCCGGCTAATATACAATAATATGACAATCAATGTAAATAAATATAAAAATTAGTGGATTCAGATATTTATTTTGTGTGTTAAATAAATCCTCATCTAACATCTTCGTGCCTTAATTGGATTTTCTGATTCATAGTCTTCGTGTTGAACTACGAAGATATAGTCCCATTTACAACAGTGCTGAAGTGTTTTTTGGTTTTGTTAATAAATCTTCAATTACATCAGTCTTTTGTATTCTTACATGAAATAGTGAGAATTATATCGAGCGCGAGATCGAAGGCCCTTGGTCCGAATCCCGCAAGCGGGATCGTGGATGCGCACTGCTGGAGAGTCCCACAATAGGACGAAACGGCCGTCCAGTGCTTCCAGGTTTCCAAAGGTGGTCTAACATCAATCGGTTCATGATCTCAATCAAAAAGAATGACATCGGTTTATAATTTCAAGTATTTAGCAGTAGGACTGGAGGGGGAAGGAATATAACTTTATACCAAATGGTACTGAATGATTTGTGATATTCTATATTAGATCACTCATTTCATTTTCATCTCAAAAAACCTTGGACAAAATAGAGTCATACAGTCAAAGAACTAATCAGTAATTCATTTCATCTAAGACTAACATTTGTGAAATTGTAGTTGGAATATCAAACTTATCTGATGTAAGATATTTATGCCAATTCCTTTCTTTAGAAAATAGAAATTATTCTTACTATTTGACCATGACCTATTTCATTTATTCTCTTTTCTTTCCCAAAGAATTCTCTGTATTGCATAATACGGCATCCATTTAGTTCGATTTTCTTGAACCCATCTCCCTGACCTTGACCTCAGTTAACTATTCATCCCCGTCACATATATATATATATACATATATATATATATATATATATATATATATATATATATATATATATATATATATATACATATATATCTGTGGACAGGGAGTTACTGAAAACGAATATGCATACCTTGGTAAGTACATAATCAATGACATTGGGAAGTATTTGCATAATACTTTCATTAATTTCTGGACTTCATTCATCAATTTAAATTTTAAAGGAAACCTATGAAGAAAGTTAAATTTGAATTCACTTGGTGTTGGTTGTTTGTATATTTCCATTGTTGTGTAGGACTGTAATTGATCAGTCTCTTATTGGCATATGTGCATCCTATGCGAACTGCCTCGATATTGCCTTAGATCACAAGCTTTTTAAGCAAAGATGAATGATGGATTTAAACTTCACCCTATTGCACAAGCACGTGGCTGTCAGAACTTAGTAGCTTAGTGGATAATGCGATGTGGTCTGTTTGGTTTGTTCATAAACCCAGTATGTTTGAAATACAGGCAGGGAGAAGTACCGATAAAAACTTTAGACTCCTCGTGCGTGTTTATGCGTCATTGTTCTAGTCGGTTATGTATTAACAGGGCACAAGGCCACAATTTATAAAAAAAAGTCATATTTTAGTCAATGAAGACTAGGTGGCGAAAACTAGTTTATTGTTTTATGCAGGATTAAATGGTGCGTTCGTAAAATATAAAAAAGTCATACTTTCAATACATTTTCACATCTTCCTTGAGTTGTCCATTACATTCTCTATCATCCTTCTAATCCTGTTTTTATTCCGATGCCTCTCTGTTTTTCCTTCACGTCCCTTTAGTTCCATCTTCTGTTGATCAGCATTCCACTTTCAATTCATACTATATACTACTTATTTCCGTCCAAACAATTAACGTACATCACAATATGGCTAATCTATCGTGAGAACTTTAGGTTCACATATGACATAACAAAAACGAACTCATCATTGCAGAAAACAAAACGTTTAATTGACTGTTCTAAATTTATCATAATACTCAAAAATCTCAAATCTAATTTTAATTGAAATGTATAAATGGATAATTATGATGAATAGGAAGTTAGTAAGGATAGCTATTCATTATTCTCTAGTTTTCAATGATTATACATCTCACAAATGTTTGATATTCTCACGGATCTCTAGCCAGAGAT